CCCTACTCTGGCTCTTGCCAGGGACCGCAATATAACCCGGCCATATATTTGGTCAAATGGCTAAACGCGGTTTCTGGGACCTCTCCTGTAGTGATCCTCATCCACATGGTGGCACTTTGTGTCGTCTGGTGTTTATCGCTTGTGTGATGTCCTGGTGGAGTAAAGGAAGATAGAGAGAAGATAGATAGGAGACTAACGTGTTGACTTCATTGCTACAAATAACACAGCTTGGTCTTTCTCAGAAGAGTGGCGCACAAAGCAGAATCTTCGTAGATCTAGTGTTGAACTAAGACATTTCCCAAACACGGATACTCGCGAGGAGAACAATGGAATAAGAAAGCCCACCTGCAACATTTAGAACTCGGAGCAAACAGCTAAAGCACTTCAAATAGAAAGTTCCTTCTAGATCCAATGTTTTAAATTTAACCTTTAGCTCTTTATTATCCACCTAGTGGCAGTTGTAAAAGCCCATTGGCTACACGCTCACTTTCCAGCCTTATGGTCTAGTGTTTAAATATGTATCCAGGATGGTTTGTTTTTCTTCAAAATTAACCTTGGCTTCCAGGTTGACTCAACCTAAAATGAGTACCTGGAAAGTAAAGGCGACCGGCGTGCTGTTATCCACGTCAGTCACAGAAAGCTGATTTGTCCTTCAAAATATACATTTAGCACTGTTTGAAGAAACAAGAGGGAAAGAAGACCAGAAGACGCACAGAGTGCCAATAGGTCTACAAATTATAGGTCTAGCACTTTATCTCCCGTGCGTTTAAGCGTGAAAATGTTCTTTTCCTGTACTGTTATCCAAATAGTCATTACATTAACGTAGCAATTGTCTGCGACTAAAAGAGTTAGGACTTGTGCGATCGTCAATAACAATCAACGCTGAAAATGGAGAAATGCACAGTTATCGGTTAACAATGTTGAATGTTGTCGAATTGAGAATCGACATCACAGCATGCTGGTCACTCCCATAAGTGCTCAGTCCCTATCTTCAGCAGCAAGCGAAGAGTTCTAATTTCGATGGTACCAGTAACCGTCTGATTATTTATCCGTCTCATTCTTGCCCTGTGTGTTGAGCGTCGGCCAGATCCTCTGATAACTCCTCACAGCGCCATTATCTTAGACTGAAATGATCTAACTGCGCCTCCGCACTGTTTACTCGCTCCCAAATGGCCCTCACATTATTATCTGTTAACAAATGATCAAAGAACTGCCATTGCTAACACAAACAATACTGTATATACACTTAAAAAAACAAAACAACAACTACAAGAATTTAAACCTCCTCTTTGAATACTTACGTTTTAGATTTAAATCACAAGATAGCTGTGCCTAATCTTCCCAAAATTTGTGCATGGGGTTGTTCAAGCGTTCAAATTTTTTTTTTAAGGTAAGCACTTTTTCTTTCATTTGAAGGCTCAAGCTCTGGAGGCCAGAAGTTGCCTCAAGGTCATGGATTGGTGTGCTTCTCATACCTCCGGTGATGATTCTGACACCATAGTTGTGTATTGTGTCCAATTTGTGTAGGTTTGATTTGACTGCAGTGGAGTATGCTCCCATGCCATACTCCAGTTTTGGTCGTACGTATCCAGTGTATACTTTTCGTACAGTGTTGGCATCTGCACCCCAGCTTGTTCCAGTAAGTTTCTTCATAGGACTGAGCCTCAGGGTAGCTTTCCTTTTACTGTTTTCAATGTGGGAGACCCAGGTTAGTCTTTTTGTCGAATATTACTAACAAATATGTGGGGTTATCCTCTTTTGGAAGGATGCTGCCTTCTAGGTACATATCAATTTGTTCTGGCTTTTTGGACAAAGAGAAGAGAGTTGAGACGGGTTTGGTCTGGTTTATTGTGACCCCCAACGAGCCTGTTCATTTCTTAACTGTATTTATAGCTTCCTGCATTCTTGTTTTAGTTGTCCCTATATGTTCAGCTTTTGTCCAATGAAAGTTTTCCTACCATCTTTAACGACAGTGTTGGCGGGGGTTGGGGGGGGGGGGTGGTTATTCTTTTAATTAAACTCTTTACTGGCTATAGACTGGACTATGAAAACAGTAACTGCTAACACCAAGAATGGAATTCAGTGGACCCCTATAAAACAGCTTGATGATCTGGACTTTGCTGATGATATTGCTCTTCTGTCCCATTCACGGAATCAGATGCAAGATAAATTAAATACACTTAATGCGAGATCAAAGCAGCTTGGTCTGAAAATCCATAAAGGAAAGACAAAGATAATGAGAATAAATCAGGCAAATAGTAATGTGGTTTCTCTTAATGGCACCCCACTCCAAAACGTGGAGTCGTACACCTATTTAGGCAGTAATGTAGATAAAGATGGAGGAACTGATAGAGATATTAAAATAAGAATACAAAAGGCAAGAGGGGCTTTCATAGCACTAGGGAATTTGTGGAGGTCAAAAGAAATTAAAAGAAATACTAAACTAAAAATTTTTAATTCTAATGTCAAATCAGTACTATTGTATGGGGCGGAAACATGGAGAACAACCAAGGCAATTACTAATAAATTACAGACATTCATTAACTGGTGCCTGCACAGAATAGAGGGAATAAAATGGTATGATAGAATAACTAATGTAGAACTTTGGGAGAGAACTAAACAGGCTCCAGTGGATCAGGAATTGAGGAAAAGACGCTGGAGTTGGATATGGCACACACTGAGAAAACAGGAGAACAGCACTACTAGAATGTCTTTGCATTGGAACCCACAGGGGCATAGGAATAAAGGAAGGCCAAAAAACACATGGGGAAGAGAGCTGGAGAACGAGGTTAGAAAGATTGGGAGGACATGGGGAGAGCTCCATGCAATGGCGAAGGATAGAACGACTTGGCGTGAGTTGGTTGAGGGCCTATGCTCCATTGGGGGATAGAAAGGCAGAAGAAGAAGAAACTCTTTAGTAGATGCCATAACTTTTTACCATCTTTCTCCATGTCGAGATTTGCAGTATTTCCTGCCATTCTGTCCGGATGCATGTGAGTTTTTCACTTGTGTAAATAGCCCGATGTTTATTGTGTTCTGTTACGTTGAGGTCAGAGAGATCTTATTCCATTTTTTCTCTTGCTTCAGTGCTTCTTTTGTGCAGATGTTGCAGTTCTTGGGTCCAGAAGTTTTCGGGTTTGATTTCCACTTCAGGTAGTTTGAGGAAAGATCGTTCTGGATGTTTTGTGACAGAGGTACAATAGTAACATACATTAGTCACACCATAAAAAGAGACTTGGATCCCATCACGTAACATTTCTAAATACATCAATAGTTGCAGATATCAGCTGCAGTTAGAACTCTACTGTAGAAACAAAATTGATAGAGAAAACAATTTGTCTGCTGTCCAGCAGGGGTGCCGTAACACACAAATCGTTGGATTGCGGGCCTCAGCCACCCCCCCCCCCCCCCATAATATTAATATCTAGGATTTGGTGGGCTAGAGGAGTTTAGGCAACACACACACCAAGACTGCAACAAACACGACACACTTGAGCCAAAAAAAAAAAAAAAAAACCCCGGTTGAAATTAACTCTACCGACCACTAGATGAACTAAAATGAACTGAAATTTAAACGAGACAACACGAGGAACTGTACTAAAGGGTCTCGACATTAGGAAGGACAAGAACCACTGCCCTAGTACCATGTGACTGTCTAATTTACTCAAAGGTTTGTCCATGGAGACCAAACCATACTAGTGAACAAACCACTTAACCTCAGAGTAGTATGCATACATTTAATAACTTCTAACCGAAAACGGACAAAACATGAAAAGATTCAACACAGCTTTTTCATGCGTGTTCATATAAAAGTGGTTTTGTTTGAATTCAGATAAATACTTCTGAAAAAGGATACATGATTTATTTGGAAGACATTGAGAGTTTCATAAATTTAATGTTTAAGGTGGCATGCAATCAATGTGGCAATTTTTTTCGTCAAAAAGATAATTGTTTCATTATTTAAAATCTTTTTCGCATTCTTGATTAAATAAGGCTGTAGTCTGTTAGACCGTGGATAGTGTGCATTTGCTTGTTAAACACGGCAGCAATGGAATTATAACGCATCGGCACGCTAAACAGCCGCATAAATATTAGCGGATGCCGTAGCAGCGCCGTGTTTAGAAGTTACAGCAGTAGGAGCAACAGGGTTAGTAGTAGTACTGATAGTAGTAGAAGTAGCAGTGACAGCATACATAGCAGTATTAGTAATAGCAGCAGCAGCAGCAGTAGTAGTTGTAATTGTAGTTGGATCAGAAGGATAAGTAAAGGTAAAATAAAAGGTAAAGTCGGGAGATGTGAACCAGCATCATTGCACACGGTTATAAACCATAAGTGCTCTGCCACCAGTACGGACAGCTGATAGGAAATTGTCCGCCTGTGTCGCCGTCAGCACGCACCTCCATAGCTACAGCGACGTTGCTCCATTTACCACAAAATGTCAGCTCTGGTACCCATTACCTAGTAGGTGCTGGGTGAACCCGGGAACTGCCCGGTTTCGAACACCGACCGTGGGCTGCAGCGAGTCGCAGCTGGATTTGAAAGCGAGTCTAAAATCGACTGCGCTAACGCAGCCCCCGAGAAAAAAGAGGGATAACTAGAAGAATAACTAGTAGCTACTAATATCCCAGGTAGGCTTATTGCTGAAGAGTCGCCGTGGCGTAGAGTCTAGACGCTCGCCTGCGAATCGGAAGCTTGTGGGTTCGCTCCCTAATAAAAAATGACCTTGTTTCCCAGGTCGACCCAACCTTGAGTGGGTACCGGGTGCAGTCCTGTGAAGTAAAGGCGACCGGCGTGATCACATTACCCATCTTGTGCCGCTGGTCTATAAAATATAGATCTAACCCTATGTACCCAATACGCATGAAGGGCGTGGAAAAGGGTCCTATACTCTACTTTACCCTTATTCATGGACACTAAGGGAAACCAGAAAGCCCCGAAGTGTCGTTATAAGGCATAATCCAGCATAGATGAATAAGGAGATGTTGATCCACAATATAGAGTTATCTCTGCAGTCGTCTGTTTTTAACGTAAAGTGGTGCACACCCCAGAATTTTCTTGAACGCAGTTTTAAAATCATCATTGAACAGCGCATAGAGGATGGGATTGAGGCTTGAGTTGACATAACCTAGCCAGATAATGGCAGCCACAAAGTGATGATTCATGTCGCACGTCTCGCAGACACTTCTTAAAATGTACATAAAAAGAAACGGCATCCAACACACGCAGAAGCAGATCATAATAAGAAGCATGCGTTTTGTTGCTCGTTGCTCCCTTAGCTCAAATCTTCTCTTCATGCTCATCGTCATGCGGTTATTGCGCTGAAAGATGGAAATGTTGCAGGGTAGAGATCTACGCGGGGCGGACGGATGGTTAAGCACGTCTGTTTCTTCATTGGTGCTGAGGGCACTAGCACTCTTGCTTCTGTGACATTCGGGTGAGAGTCTAAGTTCATGCATGTAGACATGCATGTTTTCAGCATCCGATGTGCTTCTCTGTATTGTCGCAGTGTGACTGTTTCTGCGATCCAAATCTGCAACGTTTAGGAAATGTTTTCTGCCAGATTTAGCTTTCGTCGCGTCATATGGAATGGCGAAACTATTGCTTCTGAGGTTTCCGGCGGAAAGAGGCGTCTGTCTATTTAAATTACTTTCTGTTTGTTTAGATACAACAGAACTGCACTGTAATGGTTGAATTAAATGGTGAATTTTTAGAACTATATTTCTGTCTAATTGTGAATCGGCTTCTCCCATATTTTGCTGATCATTTAAATTGTCAGCAGTTCCCGAAGCAAAAGTAGCAATTGCAATGTTTCTACTATCCCCATTTATTGCTTCTTCAGAGGGTAGTTTGATCACTGGACATCCATTATCAGCCGGAGTTGGTATGGTGGTTGTTGTAGCGGCAACTTTTGTTTTTATTCCTTTTGATTGGTTGTGTAAGACCATGAATATACGTATATACATAAATGTCATAAATACGGCTGGGATAACAAAAGATCCCATTGAAGAATACAAAACATAGCTACTTGAAGTAAACAGGATACATTCATGTCGCCGAATAACATGATTGAAAGTGAAAAAGCTTGGTATCATTTGTCGCCATCCAATGAAAGGAGCGAATGAGATAATAACAGAAAATATCCACACAAACACAATACATCCAACTGCTTTAGGCACCGATCTCTGATCGTGGTACCACACGGGGTAAACTGTTGCTAAATAGCGATCGAAAGCTACTGTACACAGGCCCCAGATTGAAGCTGTACAGTACAATACGTCAACACACAGCCAAACTGTACAGGCGACTTCACCAAAAACCCAGTATCCCAGCAAATCATGGCCTATTGAAACAGGCAACACGGTCAGTGCCAGGAGGAGGTCGCTGATAGCCAGATTACCTATGAGACAATTGGACATTGTACGCAATGTTTCAAACCGGTACAAGGCGAACAAAACTAGGATATTTCCCAAGATGGTCCACAGTGTAATTAAGGATAATGTGACGGCAACGATGAGAAAGATTTCTATAGAGCGGTACCTTGTAGAGCAGATGGGCGATATCATAAGCCACAGATCGCTGGAGTTGGTTCCGCAAATGGACAACGAGACGTTCGTGTCCATCTCTTGTAAATGTGAAGTTGAAAGGTTGGCTTCTGTATTCACTGTTGTGCCAATAAGCTGCCAATAGTATGTTACAGCTTCAAGATACTGGCGTCCACTGACGACTTGCACAGAATAGTAATCTTCCGAAGATACAGGGGGATAGTAGACCATCGTGGTGACAACAGAAGGTACTTCTTTCTGCATTGATATTAAGCTTCATGTGTTGATACTGTTTTGTTGACTTTTGAACAACGGGCGATTCGTTAGAACCCTAGCATCGTAATCTAATGACTAGGCATCAGTTCACGAGATTAATGGCCATTTGATTGAGACCGTTGATTGGAAATGTGTAGGATGTTGTCTGTGAAACGTTCACCAACCTGCAGGATTATTTTAAAAAACACACATTATTTGATATGAGTTTATTTAAATGGATATGTATTGTAAAAATAGTTAAAACATTGAAAAGGCAATCACAAACACACACACACACAAACACACACATAAACACACACATCAATTTATGGGAGCGAGAGAGGAAAAATAAGAGAGAGAGAGAGAGAGAGAGAGAGAGAGAGAGAGGGAGGGAGAGAGAGAGAGAGAGAGAGAGAGAGAGAGAGAGAGAGAGAGAGAGAGAGAGAGAGACGGAGAAAGAAAGAAGAGAGCGTAGGGAAAGTTGTGCGAATTTTTTTTAGATCATGACCTGAAGATAAACAGAACAGGTAAAAGCATCGTTAGTCTCCCCGCGCCTCCACCATATAGGTGGTTCCTTTCAGATCTAGCTCACTTATGATTGGTAGTTCCTTGACCTGTCACCTTAGCACAAGGTTAGGAGGGTGTTCTGCCATGCTGTTGATATTGCATGTTGTATATTGCAGCATGTCAGCGCTTTTAACACTCACAAAAATGGACAAACTGGTCCTAACACAACCCCCTAGTTAGTACTGCAACCTATGTCACAGGCATTCTCTTTCTCTGAATGAAAACGTAAATAGAAGACATAACAGAAAACAAACAACAGAGCGGCACCCACCCGTAACTTTCAGAAAAGTCGACCAGCCCAACACACTTGTAAATGAAAAGTGACCTATTCTTTTTGAGGAAATTAATGTGACCCAACCGATAAAAAATATAAATGACCAATGTTCGCCATAGCACTATAGAACCCCCCCCCTCCCCATAATCCTGATATGCTTATTAGTCATTAAGTAAGTCGGTAAACAGTAAACGATTGTTGTGTGTCGATGCTATATTTAGTAGAATAGATATCATCATCATCACGTGGCTCGCTGGCTAGCAAAGGCTGTAACGTGTCGCCATCTCACACGATCACAAAAATCACGGATCAGTTAAATGTTTTTGTCTCGTCCCATCTATTTTATCGCTATTCTGGTTTTTATCTTCATGCTTTCCTCTTTCTCTCTTTCCATCATTCTTGTCAATTTGCATTCATTTCAATGGGAAACACAGATTTCTCGCAAATGGAGTCATAGAACAAATTAGGTACATGACCCAAGGTACCACTTTACTTATTGTATGTACTACATAATTTGGTGCGGCTACTGGGGTTGACCTTCTGCTGAATCAGACAGCCTCTAGACATCATCCGCATAGAGTCGTTTACTCCTGATAGCAACACAACTGACAAAACAACAAAAGCCAAGAAATATATCCACAAATAGTAAGCACATATTCGGCACGACTTGTAGAATTTGTGGGAATGCTTTCTCCAGCTAGGCTTGCCACAAAGTAAGAACTAAACCACAAAGTACTCAGAGGAATCAAATGATCATATTCTTAGATTATCACCACAGTAAGCTGGAAAGGTCTACAGGTTGAAATGTGTGGTGCATTACCAGGGTGGGGTCAAAATAAATGCCTCAGCTCTGTACTGGACACTCAGTTATGGAGATCACACTGGGTATCGTCACTGAAATCGCGGAGTTTACGCTTTGTGTGACACCCTCGTTAGGCTACAAGTTGTTGTACGAAAAGAGACAGAGCCGTATGGAAAAAAGACTGGTGCAATAAAATCGAAACCTAAACTTAAATCTTGCTCATACATGTCAATGTACCGCCAATAGTGGAGTTTGCTTATCAACAATATTGACATTGAAGTCGAGATAAAACCACCTCAATATACTCCTTAGAGAAACTGATTACGAGACACACACACACACACACAAAAATGTTGCACCTCGAGATAAATACAAAGACAATTTTTATCACACCCGGTTGGCATTTTATGCAGAATGATACACTTTGAGTGTGAAACGAGGGCTGGAAAAGGGGGGGGGGGGGGACTTTTCGACAGTAGCAAGGAAAGATAATTTAAATTTTAACTTTTAAATATCTCCATGCCTTCTTAAATAATGTCACAATTTATAGCCGACTTTTCTTGATTTTCGCTTTGTCACCCATGGCATACGCACCCAGTTTGAGAACCTCTGCTGTAATGCCTCGGTCGAGTCAGCAGGCAAAGATCTTGCTAGGTGCTGTACCACGCAACCGGGTCGCAGTTCCCCCCGCTACGACAGACTTAGGCAACGGCAACTGTTTTGTTAATGAGAGAGTTATTTCAGTCCATCGCCGTGTGTGCAGAAACGGGTGTAAGGTAACCACTATTCGTATTCGGCCTGACCGCAAGTATTCGGCCGAATATCGAATAGTTATTAGGTCCACTATTCGGGCCCCGAAGCGAATACGAAGCGAATATTGGGTACCCCAGTTTAAACCAACACGGTATAAGAGATAAGGACAAAAACATAAATTATTTAAAGCTTTACGTTCGCATGACACCTCCATACCGTAGCCAACACCTTAATGTGCTGTACATACATTTTGGAAAGCTCTGGCTTAATAAGGCATAAGAAAACCAGTGTCCTTCTAATGTATGAATTGCCAGAAGCTCTGTATTTAGGCGGTCAACTGAAAACTGAAGCTGATTAAATCCAGCGTTTAACGGGGCCACTTAAGGTTTGAGCAGCAATCAATTAAACTAAAGTTCTAAATTGACGCAGTTTCAGAACTTATAAGAAAGAGGGCTATCGATGACGTTGGTAAAGCCCAGAGGCTATAGCAGTAGTAGAATGGAAACCCTAGTACTTGCTGACTGGCAATGGTGATAAATACGAAGCTGAAGGTCGTCTCTCAGAGAAAACACAAAGTAAAGAAGTATATATTTACACTGGCTTTAAATCTACATTTTCCAAAGGACACCGTTATATAGTTTTCACTTACATAGTGTTCTTCTTACATGTTTCGCCCCAAACAAACCGTGGTTGGCATTTTATTTATGCTTCTTGACATTTTACATGCGATGATCTACGTTACAGGGTTGCCACGTGCGTTTTCTTTGATGCTTTCACCAGCGATGTTGCAGGCTCTATATTACACGATGTGACCCTTTTTACAGAACATCTAGAACTAGCCCTAGCCCAACCCCCATACCGCACAGCCTCAGAATACGTCCCACTAGAGAGTGCAGCCTACGTCTGTGTAACGTTCTGTTTTCTTCAATGCTGTCACCGGCGATATCCCGTGTTCTGTACCACACGATCTGACCGTTTTTAACGACCCCAAAACATTTAAAACTGGCCCTTACCCCAACCGCTCTACCCCACAGCCTCAACCTACGTCACAGGAGAGAGCACAGCCTACGTCCCGTGGTTTCAGAATTGGTAACATTTTCCCGTGCGCCCTAAAAAACCGTCTTGCTGCATAAAAGCAATGATGTTCTATTTGTGGCTAGTCAACGCTGACAGCTGAAGTAATTTCATGCTCTACTTAAAGTTCAAGAAAAGCTACAATATAAGCATTGTTGCCGGTCGCTCACAACAAGTAAAACACAACGTGTTGCTCGCCGCTCACGTGGGGCGTAATATAGAAAGCTTTTCGCAAAGATAATGCAACCTGACACCCCTGTAACATATACTAGCATGTGTGAAAAGTCACCAAGCATAAATGAAAGGCCAACCACAGTTTGTTTGGGCAGAAAACGTAGCAAGTTCCAGAGCACCTAGCAAAATAAAAAGTTTAAGGACCACACATACATACATACATACATACATACATACATACATACATACATACATACATACATACATACATACATACATACATACATACATACATACATACATACAGACAGACAGACAGACAGACAGACAGACAGACAGACAGACAGACAGACAGACAGACAGACAGACAGACAGACAGACAGACAGACAGACAGACAGACAGACAGACAGACAGACAGACAGACAGACAGACAGACAGACAGACACACACACACACACACACACACACACACAGACAGACAGACAGACAGACAGACAGACAGACAGACAGACAGACAGACAGACACACACACACACACACACACACACACACACACACACACACACACACACACACACACACACACACACACTACACACACACTACACACACACTACACACACACTACACACACACTACACACACACTACACACACACACACACACACACTACACACACACTACACACACACTACACACACACACTACACACACACACTACACACACACTACACACACACTACACACACACTACACACACACACACACACACTACACACACACTACACACACACTACACACACACTACACACACACTACACACACACTACACACACACACTACACACACACTACACACACACTACACACACACTACACACACACTACACACACACTACACACACACTACACACACACTACACACACACTACACACACACTACACACACACTACACACACACTACACACACACTACACACACACTACACACACACTACACACACACTACACACACACTACACACACACTACACACACACTACACACACACTACACACACACTACACACACACACTACACACACACTACACACACACACTACACACACACTACACACACACTACACACACACACTACACACACACTACACACACACTACACACACACTACACACACACTACACACACACACTCACACACACTACACACACACTACACACACACTACACACACACTACACACACACTACACACACACTACACACACACTACACACACACTACACACACACTACACACACACTACACACACACTACACACACACTACACACACAC